CAATGCGGCTGCACGACGACTCCGAGAGATCACCCAGACGGCCGAAAAGGCCACAAGAGAGCTTCAAGATGGCTCCGACAAGGCCGAAGAAGGCCCCAAGGGAGCCCCAAGATTGGCCCACAGGAGCCTAGGACAGCCCTACGATAGCCAAAATAAGGTCCATGAGCATTCGCCGAAAAGTGAAGACGAAATGTGTCACATGTCACCGCTCTCCTCCGCCTCCTCCCCCTTTCTCTCCTTCCCCTCCTCCTCCTCCTCCTCATCCGTTTCCTCCTTAGCATCATCCTGACCACCATCACCACCATCATCACCAGTGCCATCAGCATGGTTGCCGTCATCATCATCATCATCCGCATCATCATCATCATCACCATCACCATCACCATCACCATCACCATCACCATCACCATCACCATCACCATCACCATCACCATGGCCACCACCATCATCACTACCACAAGCGACAGCACCATCATCATAATCATGACAGTCATCATCATTACCACCATCAACAGAACCATTATCATTATCATCACCATGTTCATGATCATCATCATCCTCACCCGTCACCATTGTCATCGCCATCATCGTTATCACCATCAGTCTCATCATCAACGGCGCCAATTTCACCACCACCACCATCATCACCATCATCATCACCATCATCTTCACCTTCATCCTCCTCCTCAACATCATAATCGAGGCGCGCTAAAGTTCAGACGGGCCGCAAGATGTTCCCCAGAGGCCCCGACGCAGTCTTCGGAAGTCCCCGAAGTTCAAGTCTCCCGCCCCCGCGCAGAAGAGCGGTCGTCGGAGCGCGCGAGGGCGCGGCCGACGCACGCCGGGGGGGGGGCGGGGCGCGAGGCCAGGCGCCCCCCCCTCCGGGCGCGCGCGGGCCGAGCGCTGCTTTTGCGATAGTCACCTGGACGCTGAACAGCGCCGGCAGCTCAGCCTCGGCGAAGCAGAGGCGGGCGGAGATTGCGGGGGGAGGGGCGGCTGCAATGACCGTGAAGCGCAGGGAGAGGGGATGCTAAGAGGAAGCATTCTCCCGCTCCTGCAGAAAAGAGCAGTCGTCGGAGCGCGCGAGGGCGCGGCCGACGCGCGCGGGGGGGGGGAGGGGGGCAGGGGGCCAGGCTTCTTCCCTGGGCGCGCGCGGCCCGAGCGCTTCTCGAGCGAAGTTCACTTTGGCGCTGAAGAGCGCCGGCAGCCGTGCCCGTGCTCAAAGCCTTTGCGCATTGGCGAGGCTTTGGCGGGCGGCCGCAACTTGCGTTGACCACGCAGAGGGGCCAACGTCGAGAACAGAAGCCGCTGGGTGGTCGCCTGCGGCAGCGAAGTACGCGACGCGCGCGCGAGCTACAGCGGGAAGGGCGGGCAGGACAGACGATGCGGCGGCGATGTCTAGATGGCGCTCAGCGCTGGAGGCCCAGCGCCAGCGGCCGCGCCACAAGAAGCGAGGAACGTTTTCAGTGGCCGCGTAGAAGTCTGTCGCCCCAGAACCTCGCAGATAGGCAGGCGCGAGGTTCCGCCCGCGGGCCGCGCCGGGCAGCTGGGCGCCCGTGGGCGAAAGCAGGTGTTTCCACCGAGCACGGAAGCGCTCTGCCCGAAGGGCCAAGGCGGATCGGTGGTGCGCAAATGCTGGATCACCAGTTCAGGAGCCACGCCGACGAATTATCGCAGCGGCCAGCGTGCCGCGTTGGATAGGCGCGGCAGGTCTTCGGCGCCCTTGCGGCAAGAATGGCATCGCCGCCGGCTGCTAAGCGCTCGCTTTGCAGCGAGCGGTCGCCGCGGCGGGCGACCGGCAGTTCGCCGGGGCGAAGCGACGCGCGGTGAAGACCGTCAGCAACGGCGCTGCCACCAGGGCCCCGTCCCGGAGTAAGCCGAGGTCCATCGCCGCCTGAAGGGGGGCGCGGGGCAGCGGCGGGCGGGGCGCGGGGGCCCCGGCAAGTCCCCGCCGCCCAGCCGCGCCCGGGGCTTCGAAAGGGAAGCGCGCCAGCGAGGGCGCTCAGCCTGCGCGCCCAAAACGGCGCGCGCCGGGGCGTAATGCGGGAAGCCCGCGTCGCGAAGCCGCGCGCCGAAGGTGGTGAGGCACCGAGAGGGCGCGAGCCCGCTGCGGCGTAGAGCGCGCCAGGAGCAGTGCGCGGGTGCCCCGCGAGCCAGAGCTCGAAGGCGTCGACGGATTTCGAGCGCCGATCGAGGCGAGGAGAGGCAAGGTGAGAATCGCGCCGAAGAGAAGCGCGGGGTGCGCGAGGGCGGGCGCGACTAGCCCTGGGCTCGCCGCAGCGGGGGGGGGCCGCGGCCGCCGACGCAGCGCAGACGGCGTCGGCGGGCGCGGCGGCGGCAGGCGACACGCCGCGGGCGCGCGCGCGCGCCGCAGGGCCAGCCCGCTCGCGCCCGCAGCGCGGCGCTGTGTCGCCGCGCGATTGCGCGCGGCGGGCGCGGCCCCCTCCCGCCGGGAGGCGAAGGGCGGGGGCGGCCGCGCCTCGGCCGCGCCGTGCTCGATCCCCGAGTCGACGGCGACGTCCTCCCGCGCTGTCGCGGAGGGCGCGCCCGCGCCGGGGGCGGCTCGGCGCGCCGAGGCCCCCGCCTCGGAGGGGCGGCGCGGCTCCCGCCCCGAGGCTCGACCAGCCGATGGGGCCCCCGAGGCCCCCGGCCCCCGCCGGCCACGGGGGCGTTGCGGTCGCTCCCAGGGATCCAGCGTATTGAAAAGATCAAGACGGAGGTTTCTCGCAAATTTCGGCCCCCAGGGGCCCTTGCCGGGCCTTGGGGCCGTCAAAGAACGACCCAGGATGAAAAACCGGCCCTGGGGGATGAGTCAAGACATCCGGGGGCCGCGTATTGAAAAAATCACGACATCGGATCTCTGGGCTTGCGACGTCTCGTAGCGCCGCGCCGAGGGGGGGAGGCCCGCGGGGCGACTCCGCCGGGGCCGCGCGCTCGCAAACGCGCCGCAGCCCGCAGGCCGCGGCCGGCGCCCCGGCGCCGCTGCGTGGCCGTGGGCCCGCTGCGGGGGGGGCAGGCGACGACTGGGCGAGCATGGCCCGTGGGTCTTCCTGCCTGGACCCAGGGCGACGAGATCTATACATATCCACTGCTCCTGGCCAGTTCCATCCTGGGCCCAGGAGCGGTGTATACGCCCTCCTGGCTTGGCTAGGGAGGCATATACACCGCTCCTGGGCCCAGGATGGACCTGGCCAGGAGCAGTGGATATGTATAGGGCTCGTCGCCCTACCATGGACCGCGTTCGCAGCCATCGCACGTTGGATCTCCAGCTGGCCCTCCGCGCGAGGCCTCGGCGCCCCCTCGCCGGGTGCCGCGGCGGTGGCTCTTCCCACCCGCGGGCGGGCCGTTGTGGCCCGTGGCTTCGGCTGCGCGCCCGAGCGTCTTCGCGCCGCCTCGTGGGGCGCCTCTGGAGAGGAGGGGGGTCCTCGGCCGATGCGTCGCCCCCTGGGCCGCCTGCCCCGAACTCGCCCGCAGACCCGATGCGGGGTGGCCCTCTCGGCGCCCGGAGCGGCCTCGCCCCCCGTGCATCGGTGGTCGCCGCGCCGCGGATGGCTGCGCGGCCCTCGCGAAGGGCGAAGGCCCCCGCGGGGCGCGGCCAATGCGCGCGGTCGCGGGCCGCCGCGAAAGGGGCCCAGAGCAGGGGTGAGAGCCTCGTCCAGAGGGTCGAGAGCCTCGAGGTCCATCTCCGAGACCTCGTCGACCGCGAGCACGGGAGCGGTCGCGCTCAGCGGGCGAGATTCCGCGCCGAGCCAGGGCAAGTTGTTCATTTGAAAGGGCCCCACTAGCCCAGTGAATCCGTCCGTCTCCGCCAGACTGAGGCCGTCGGCAGAGCGGAAGGACCCGGGCGACTCCGGCAGGATGCCTCCAGGCCGAGCGGCCAGGGGGATCGCGGCGTAGCTCGCCTCGCCATCGTCCAACCGACAGCGGTCGCACCTGGTGGCTGACGGCGGAGTGAACGGCGGAGGTCGGGCCGCGCAAATCCGTCGGGGATGGCGAGCTTCCCCGCTGCCGACGCAGCGGCTGCCATTGCTGGCAGAACAGGGCACGCGCGCACTCCTCAGCCCGCGCTCCCGGGCCGCGCGCCAGGGCGCGCTGCTCGCCGCGACCGTGCCCGCCAGGGGCCCCGGTCACGGCCACCGCGCGGAGGGGGGGCCGAGAGCTCCCGCCCACGGGCAGCGAGGGCACCGGCGCAGGGACCCCCGCAGAAGCTGTGGACGGCCGTGGCCCCAAGATGAGGAAGGGACAACACGCACCCATACCCATAGGGGGGTCGGCGGGAGGTGGACTTGCTATGGGTATGGGTGCGGGTTGTCGGACCGCGGGGGAGGCTCCCGTTCGAGCGGGGACCCCCATCTGACAACACGCACCCATAGCCCCCTCCCTCCTCCCTGAAGGGCTACCACCTTCGAGAGCAACGCAGGGGCGACCCCGCTGCGCAGAGGGTGGGGCAGGCCGCGCCCCCGGGGACAGCGGGCCGCGCCCGTCGATCGGCGGACTACGGCGCCCCCGCCGAGGGGGCGTCGAGGTCCGCGAGCGGTGGGGGAGGCTGGCCCACGAGCCGCTCGTGGAGCGCGGCTCGTAGGCCTCGGAAGAGCCAGGACTTTTCAGCCTCCCGAGAGTATCGTCAGCCCCGCGAAGCAGATTTCCAGATGCCCCGAAAGGATCGCCATTTCTAAAAGCTGGGAGCTTGTCGTACACGCACATATACATATACATATGTACATATTCAGTATCACACATATATATATATATATAAACTACGAGGGGGGGGGGTCTGGATCTCTTCCTGCAGGCCAGCCCCCAAGAAACATGTGTTCTTCATGGGTTTGCTATCGGCTATGAAGGGGGGTGGGTGTCTCTTCCTGGAGGCTACCCCGCCTCTGCGAGCTGGGCCCCAAATTTGCATCCAGCCGATCGCCCCAGGAAGTCTTGGATTGGGGTCCTCGTCATCCCCGTGACCATCATCCCCCAGCTCCACTCCTCACGATGGGTGCTCCGAGGCCGCAGGCAGAGTGACCTCCGGATCGACCTCAGCGCAGACGACCTGGACTCCCGCCTGCTCTATCGCCACGTGCTCACGCAGGGCGACCCCTTCGACGGTGCGCCCAGCCCCGCCGCGCCCTGAGCGTCCACCAGTTGTTTTCGGTTGCCGACAACCGTTCGGGCCGCAGGTCCGAGTGGTCGGCCCAGCCCGGTCGGCTCAGCTCAGGGATTTCGTTTTTTTTTTTTCTTATTCTTCGTCTTCTTCTTATTTTTCTTCTTCTTCTTCTTCTCCTCCCTCTTCTCCTTATTCTTCTTATTCTCCTCCTCCTCCGTCCTGTCCGTACTTAGCCATCTGGGTGCAACGCCAAAAGGCCGATGGGGTGCCTTTCTGCTTTTCTCCCCTGCCGCGTAGCGGACAGCGGCCAGTATCTCCTTCCCGTTCGGGCTCGTCGGCCAACGCGGGCTTGGAAAGTGGCTCCAGCACCCACGGCGCGACGTCATAGTAGCACATCCACCTCCGAGGCACGAAGCAGCGACGGAGACGAACAGCACGGCGATGCATATCACGACGACCCTCAGCACGACGGACAGCAGCAAGACGACGAGCTGCACGGCCGGTGTGGGGCAAGACGGCCGCCGGTAGCATGACGATGAGTCGGCGTCACCTCAACGTACTAATACTATCTGTGCGTCGCCCCCCCCCCCCAGGGGCGACGCGCGCACGTGGGCGACGCGCGCACCGAGAAATCTGATCGTAGATGCGTCGTGGCGGGCGCTTTCTGGCCCCACCGCTGGGCAAGCGATATACGACAGCATGGGTCTGCTATACGTCCGGGTCGAACGCGCGCGCCTTAAAGGGGGACATATCGAGCATGTCTGTGCGTCCGACACGACGGCCGCTGGCAGCATGACGACGAGCAGCACGACGATGGGCAGATCCGCGGCACGACGGTGAGCAGCACGACCTCGGCCCGCACGCCGGGCAACCATTGCGATCTTAGGCTACCGTCTTGTACGACGGCGTCGCGCCCCACGTTGATATCCTGCACCATGGTGGTATCCTGCCCACTGGGCACTGGAAGCACGATGCTGGTCAGCATGCGAGCTCCAACTGCAAATCTCTGCCAGCTCCACTGTCATGGCTTCCCCGAGGCCACTTCCACTTTCGCACCTCCCTGCCCACTAACAGCATGCCCGCCCCTGCGCCCCAGTGCCCCGCATTCGCTTCCAGTCCCACCATCAGCTCCGCCACCCACCGTGCCGCCCAATCTGAGAGGGCCGGCCGAAGGCGAGGGAGGCGGTCTCCTCTACCCCCGACCCTCGTACCTGGATTGCTGACCTTCGGACTCGGCCGCTCGCACGCACTCGCCGCCTGATGGGAAGCGGCCCTCAGATGTCGCGTGTGCAGTCTCCCCACTGCCGCGGCTGCGAAGCATGAAGTCGATCCTCCGCCATCGGCCGCTCGTACGCCACACCACCCACCACCAGCAGTACCAGCGTGAGAAGCAACCTCTGCAATGACCACTTCTGCCGCCAGGGCCAGTGCTGGCTCCAGTGCCAGGAACGCGTCGCACGACGGTTATCAGCGGCCCGACCCTACGCAGCACGATGGGCTCAAGCATTACGGCACAGAGCAGCACGACGGGTACCATTAGCACGACGCCGATCTCCACGACTGGATCCGCAGTGCAATGTTATTTTCGTGGGGAGGAAATTCATGCAATTTTGGTAGACTCTTCGACGAACCCCACCAGCCTATCCAGCAACGGTGCCCAGGCGAGTTGCCCTGATCAGGGATGTGGAGTATAATGCAGTGGAGTAAAGGGTTGGGTAAGACGTCGTACCCCTAAGAAGCGGAGGATTGAGGCGGAGTAGGAACAGGAGGAGGAAGAGGAGGAGGAGGAGGAGGAGGAGGAGGAGGAGGAGGGAGAGGCGGAAGGGGAGGAGGGCCCCCACAAAGCTCTATGAACTGGTTCGTCCTGGAGATGCGTTCGGTGTGCTCGCGTCTTCCGCAGTCAGAAGGCCAAATGGGGTGTATGCGGCCATGACCCCCCAGCCTCAGGCAGGTGGTGGCGCTAGACGTTGCTCCCAAGCACAAGCTTTCTGCTTGCAGAGTTGTGGAGACCAGTCTTCTGTTATTGTTTGGGGCTTTCCCTGTAACATCGGTCGGCCATGCATTCATCTATGCGCGTGTGTGTGTTGCACATATATATATGTACACATACATATATATATATATATATATATATATATATATATATATCCATACATGGATGCAAATGTACACACATATACACTTAAGTAGCAGAGGAGGCAGAGTACCAGTGGCAAGTGCCCGTGGCCCGAGGGCCTGCATCTGTCAACGTCTTGGCCATTTGCCCGACCAGATGATGATCCAGGCGGCGAGTGGTGGGGCAGGCTGCACTGCTTCCAGCTCACTTGATTTCCCTTTTCCCACAGCCCTTATCGATCATGATGATGGAAGGTCAATGAGCGAGCCATTGAAAAAGGAGGGGAGGAGGGACTAGGAAGGAGGAGGAACAGGCCGATGAGGAAGAGGAGGGGGATGAGAAGGAGGAGGAGAAGGAGGAGGAGGAGGAGGAGGGCGAGAAGAAAGGCCAGAGGACACTTTGATGCCTGCCGGAGTCTCTTCGGATTTCTTTCGGGTTTTCTTGGGGTCCTCTTTGGGCGTCTTGGGGGTCTCTTGGCAGTTCTGGGGGCCTCTTGGGGCGTCTTGGGTGCCCCTGGTGAGCCTCTTGGAGACTGTTGGGGGTCTCCAGGGGTCCTCTTGGAGGTCTCCTGTGAGCCTCTTGGGGGCATTTTGGGGGCATTGTGGGGCCTCTTGTCACCTGTTGGGGCCGTCTTGGGGCACCCATTGTAGCCTCGGGGTCCATCTTTGGGCCATCCTGGGAGAGGTCGATCAAAGGAGTGTGGCTGCCTACTTAGGGTTCCCCCCCCAAGAGGCCAAACTGTAGCCAAATCAATCAGTGATTTTGGCTTTCTCTCCGAGGCCTCTTGGAGCGTCTCGGGTGCCTCTGGGGGGCCTCTGGGGGCCTCTTAGGGGTCTCTTGGGAGACTCTTGGGGCACCCTTGGGAGCCTCGGGGCAATCTTGGGGCCATCTTGGGAGAGATGGATCAGAAGAGGGTGGGGGGCCCACTTAGGGCTCTCCAGCCAGCAGGCCAACATGTAGCCAATTTCGCTACCGAGGAACCCCACATACTTGTGTCATGCTTAGAGCGATGATAGCTGAACTGAAACTTGCGAGAATGATGCCGGTGGCCGTTGCCCCGCCGATATTGTTGGTCACGCCGGTCAAGCCTTGGGAGCCTGAGTACCTTGAGGGCGTCAAGAAACTGCCACACCTGCCACGCTTTCCGATCCTGGATCGTATAGACTCCTAGTTCAGGGACCACGTCGAGAAACTGCCACCCCTGCTGCACTTTCCGAGCCTGGACCGTTTAAAGACCGCACTCAGCGACGACCCCCTGCAAACTCCCTCTGGTGTCGAACAACTGCCACCCCTGCTACACTTTCCGAGCCTGGACCGTACAGAGACCGCGCTCAGAAACCACCCCCTGCGCCCCCCTCTGGTGTCAAAAAACTGACACCCATGCCACACTTTCCAAGCCTGGACCGTATATAAAGACCGCTCTCAGAGACCACCCCTTGCGTACACCTTATGGTGTCGAGAGCGTCCCACGCCTGCGGTGCCTCGACGCGAGGCGCGCATAGCTGCCGCGGTGAGAGACCACCCCTTGCGCACCCCCTATGGTGTCGAGAAAGTGCCACGCCAGCTACGCTCTGGATTACAGGCGCGCGTAGCGTCCGCGGTGAGAGACCACCCCTGCGCACCCTTCTGAAGTCGAGAAAGTGCCACGCCTGCCTGGCCCTGCGACACTGGCGCGTGTACAGACCGCGGTGAGAGAACACCCTTTGCGCATCCCGTGTGGCGTCGAGAAAGTGCCACGCCTGATAGGCCCAGCGGCGTTGGCGCGTATAGAGACCGCGGTGAGAGGCCCCCCCCCTGCGCACCCCCTCTGGTGTGGAAAAAGTGCCACGCTTGCTAGACACTGCGACATTGGCGCGTATAGAGACACCCCCATGCGCACCACCTCTGACGTCGAGAAAGTGCCACGCCTGCTTGGCCCTGCGACATTGACGCGTATAGAGACCACAGTGAGACCCCCCCCCCTGCGCCCTCCTTCTGACGTCGAGACAGCGCCACGCCTGCTAGGCCCTGCGGCAGTGGCGCGTATAGCGACCGCGGTGAGGGACCACCCCTGCGCACCGCTCTGACGTCGAGACAGCGCCATGCCTGCTAGGCCCCGTGGCATTGGCGCGTGTAGAGACCGCGGTGACCAACCACCTTGTGCGCCCCCCCTCTGGCGTCGAGAACGTGCCACGCCTGCCGGCCTTGCGACATTGGCGCTTGTACAGACCGCGGTGAGAAACCACCCGTTGCGCATCCCGTATGGCGTCGAGACAGCGCCACGCCTGATAGGCCCGGCGGCGTTGGCGCGTATAGAGACCGCGGTGAGAGCCCCCCCCCATGCACACCACCTCTGGCGTCGAGAAAGTGCCACGCCTGCTTGGCCCTGCGACATTGGCGCGTGTAGAGACACCCCCATGCGCACCACCTCTGGCGTCGAGAAAGTGCCACGCCTGCTTGGCCCTGCGACATTGGCGCGTATAGAGACCGCAGTGAGAAACCACCCCTGCGCTCTCACTCTGACGTCGAGACAGCGCCACGCCTGCTAGGCCCTGCGGCATTGGCGCGTTTAGCGACCGCGGTGAGGGATCACCCCTGCGCCCCCCTTTGAAGTCGAGAAAAGGGCCACGCCTGCTAGGCCCTGCGGCATTGGCGCGTATGGCGACCGCGGTGAGAGACCACCCCCTGCGCACCCCCTGTGACATCGAGAACGTGCCACGCCTGCTCGGCCTTGCGACATTGGCGCGTATAGAGACCGCGGTGAGAAACCACCCCCTGCGCACCCCCTCTGACGTCGAGAAAGTGCCACGCTAGCCACGCCATGCGACCCTGAGACGGATAGAGACCACGGCGAGGGACCACCCCCTGCGCACCCCCTGTGGTGTCGAGCAAGTGCCACGCTTGCCACGCCTTGCGAATC